GTGTCGGCACTGTCTACGCTCACACCGCCCTCTCTTGGTCGTTGTTCCAAGCGTTTGCGTGCCTAGTTTCCTTTCCTTCCGCGGGGTGGCGGTTCCGTAGCGCGTGTCTAGTTTCCTCCGGGTGGCGGTCCCGTCGCGCGTGTCTAGTTTCCTCCGGCTCCTCGGGGCGAGTGTGCGTTGTGTGCTAAACAGCTTCGCTGGTCGTCCACCTTCATATAGTGCAATGGCTCATGATTTTTGAACAAATCTCATATTCTGAACAAATGGGCAGAAAAATATATTTCTAATATTTTACTTGTTGACGTTTATAAATAACTGCTTTGAGTTAGCGAGTAAATGCTCAAATTGTCTGGGCGCAAATCTCAGATGCTATCGCACACATTTTGTATTTTTATATGAGGCCCGCCGAGTCGGTGGTGATACCTGTCGGTATCTTGATCCGCACTGATGTTGAGGCGTGGACATTTTGGAAAAAATCTGTCTTGCTTGATGTCTCTAAAGCAGGGTTGGACCGAGATACTTCGAAAAGTATTCCGGAATAAAAATACTGAGATACAGGTATTTCCAGGCCAAAGTACAGATATTGAGAAAGCGTCGTCTTTTATGAAACCAGATATCCCTGGTAATAATTCTGCAAAAATGGATAAAAATATTTCGGAATAAAGATATATGCAATAATATGTATCTTTTCATAAACGGAGGGTGTAGTTTATGGCAAATACAAAGGGTGATGATTGTGTTCCTCTCTTCGTGTCAGTTTAGGCACGTCCCCTTACCTCAAACTCTTTTTCCGTTCAAAACCATCATCCTAACCGCGGTCAAAAATCATTATTAACCTCTGTGACCCACTCAGCTACTGTACGCTGTTACAAGTTAAGAAAAGCACGACAAGCTTCTCCTACGAATCCCTGCACTCTTTCCACTTTGTAAGAGCGAAAAATGGAGATGCAGCGGGTCTCTCCTCGCCTCCATTCCAGCGTTCACTCTTATAAAGTGAAACAAGTTGAGGGCTTTTAAAGGAAGAGCTTGCTCTGCTTTTCTTCACCAGCAACAGGTTATAGACCTTTCCAAAAAGAGCTCTCTGGCTGCCACCATTTTGCGACTCTCGTTACACCTATCAGTCTGACATTTCTGTCACCCTCCTGGTCTGTGAAAACCCTTTCAGCGCTACCTGCGTAGTGCATTCGGAGTTCGCCGGTATTTCTTGAATGTTTTTACTCTATTTACCTGTTCAGGATGCTTTCCCTTTTTTTGTCATTTTACATTGTGAGAACCAGGGTATACTAGGGCTTGTAGTCTGCTCGGCCTTGGCGGGAAACGAACTAAAAAAGCAACCGTCGAACAACCCGCGAAACGGGCAATTCGACGTTTTTAGGGGATTTTTTTACGCTGAGATATTCTCAGGAAGGCTTTCCCAGCTATATTCTCGGTCTTCAATAAAATTAGCTAACTTGGTGCGGGGTAAAGTACAGAAAGAACACGCCCATTCCTTTGCTTCAGTGCTGTGCAAAACAAAACAAAAACTTTTTTAAAACTTGTTTTAAAAGAAGTCAGGGTTCCGTCCGATCGTCTTAAAGGGACTGTTGTCGACATGGTAGATGGCATATGCAGTGTTGTTTGAGATATTCATCAAATAAACCGAATTCGAATATCGCGGCGCCGTGGGTACATACAATATGTTTATCAATTAATGAAACTTGTTGAATTTCATGTTGTGAGCGGGAAATACCCATGCCTTTCGCCTATCTTGTGAGGTCAAATATTTGCGGCACTCAAGACTTTTGCAGATCATATGGCGGAGGCTATGGTAATCTGAAAAGGTTGCGTAAAAGGAAACAAACATTCAAGTTGCATTCACCCTGTCGCGCACGGTCTCAACAAAATAGCTTTGATTCGTTTGAATAGTATATTTTAAAACGGTACAATGCTTTCTTAAAGGACCTCATGCATTCTATAATCCATGAAGTACGAAAAATAAAAATAAAAGGAGCAATTTATTTCCCACCAGTGTCCGGAATTGCGCCTACGCAGGTTGCCGCAGCCCACTGAGAAGAAAACCCACTGACGTACACTCTCAAGACTAGGGACGCGCTCTCTATATTGCGCTGTTCGAGACTGCGCAGGAAAGGAGCATTCACTGGACGCTATATTTGAGGGCGATGTTTAAAACGCATGCCGGGAACAAGCTCACATTAAAAGGCTGCTAAGACCGGCAATCTTGATGGTGCGGAATGCACGTCGCAAAGCTCTGCGTCAGCACATGCTCAGCAAACACGCACACAGCTATGGAAAATACGACCTACAGAGGCTGACAACTGCCTATCATGCTTGATAAAAAGTTCTGCCCGAAATGAACTTTGTCCTGCTATGAGTGCGCGTCTCGAACTGTCTACTGAATGCTTCTGAGTCACCCAGGATGGCGAGGTTGGACAACAGAGCCGAACCTTTCTGCGCTAAGCCATTTTAGTTTGCACGGAACCTGATGCAACATAAGTGAAAAATAAGCTCTCACAAGTCCTTTAGTGTTCATGATTGATGTTTTTCTCCTCTCCACTCGCCTCCTTTCAAGCCTTAGTTAAACTAAAATGGAAAGATTAGAGGGTTTTCTGGGAGGAATGCATTCTACTATTCTTGCAAGTAACCTTTCTCCGCACCAATTTTATTTGCAGGGTTCTTTCTTCTCTAAGGGAGCTACTCGGCGGGCTTATCAAAATGATTTTGAAGTTATCGTAAAAACCGAACTGTTATTTTTCTACCGAAGATGAAACTTGATACTCAATCCTGGCAATGTATTGCCATCTAATCGAAGTATTGTAAATGCATTTTACTACTGAGATACGGATACATTTTTTCTTTTAAGCGTATCTCAATACAAAAATACAGATGGTAAAAGGTATTTCTAAGATGCTATTCTAACAGAGTTGCATCGCGATACAGCTCGGCCATCGTCTAGATAGAGGCTGTGGCCGCAATGCTTGCCATATTTGTGCAAGCCTAAAAAAATTTAATGTGCGTCGTTTTTTATCCCGGCGTGGGGGAAAATCTGTATTTGTTTCTTTGGTTTTTATTTGTATGTAGTGTTTTCTACTGCTTATGGGTTTTCATGTTTGATTTGTCCTGATCAAGTAGTTTTTCGTCATCTGTCAGGCATTCAGTTTGTCTGGGCATGCTGGATGGTTTGGCCGTAAAGAAGGGGTGCGGGGGGGGGGGGGGGGGAGGGGGGAGGGGGGGCTGTTGCCTTGTCAGACATTGTGAATACCTTTTGTGATGGCCCCCCAGACAGTTATATTCCTCAGTGGCTATCTCAATAAACTTTGAACTTGAACTTGGTTAGAGGAAATTCTTACTTAATTTCCGAGAAACCGGTGTCGAGAGCCTCTGGTGGTGAAGATTTAGATTACATCATGCGCGTAAACCTTTTCTTATGGTTTACTAAAACTCAAGTCTGAAGAAATGATAGTTCTCATTTGTTATGACTGATTATGTTGCATCTAATTAGATGTAAGTCAACTTTTTGACGCATACCCCTTTGGAATTAGGTTTTATTTAAGTCGATAGTAAATGTTCCGCTACCCTGGAAGCACGAGGGCTTGACGGGCGGGAAAAGTCAAAGCACAGTGAAACTGCCAGAAGGACTGCATTTATGAAATAGGCCGAACGCATCGGTTGAAGCATAACTGAAATGGAGATAGACCCTATTGGTATGACATTTGGGATGGAATAACGTTCAGGGTACTTTAATTATTGAAATTATAAAAAAATAATCATCTATATATTTATGCCAGATTGTAAATTGTAGCGTTTATGAAAACCTCGGTTTCGCCAAGGTCGATTCTTAGAAGTTTAGAAAGAACATATTTTTCGTTTGTGTTGCATGATGTTTTGTGCACATTATTCGGGATAGACCCGCTTAGAAAAAAGTAACGTTTCAGTAGATTTTGAATTAAAATCAATGCTTAAGTTCGTTGTTCATGTGCAAAAAATAACACGTCTAAAAATGTGTTTTGGAACCCTCACAACAAAAATTTGAATATACTAGGCGCACCATATAAAAAAAAAGCTTTGTGAACAAAATCATTGCGCATATATCATTAATATATGTGACCTCCATTTTGTCAAAGTGTCGTTCATATTATGCGACTGTTCATAATATTGAGACAAAAATGCATATATTTACCCGGGTCGTCCTCAAAATTAATGTCTTTAGTGTAGGGTATCTATAATAAGTAGTCAATTTTAGCGAAACATGACTGTATATTTGAACCAAGCATACATATATTTAAAGAAAAAAACACTTAAAAGAAAGCTTCATTGATAGCAACCTTTTGCGGCTTATTGTAATGAAAACATTTTATGATCGCCATTCTGGTCAGTCATTGTTTAAAAACTATGCAGCACCAGTTGCTCTTCTGAAAATTTCCGGATCGATCGTTTCGAAAACAGTTTCCCCTCATCGCCACTGACACAGATAGACCAAACGATTGAGGTTAACGTCGTATTAGTGAGCACTGTGAACACTAGAATTTAACCAGTATGCAATTTCATTAGCACTGTATCCTAATAGCACGTATATAACTCTTTCTAAACTTGCATCATTACCGACGAACTTACTAACAAGTACACCCAGTAAAGTTTGCACATTTCAGAGGGAACACGGGACTTGTATTTCTCTTTGGTGCAGTAAGTTGGAAGGCAATTAGCATCGGCCATAATCCCCGCGCAATAAGAACCCTCGGATCCTAAAACCCGAGGGGGCGCATGCAGTATTGTTAGGACGAATTATATTCCGTTCATCCGAAGCTGAAAGTGCGGGGGAGATAAACCGTCTCCCTTTCATCACCGGACCGCGCGCTCTCATCTCGTGGGTGCGGTGGGAGATGCGACTACGGGGCAAAGGACAGACGTAAGACTGTTTGAATGAGTGCAAAGATTCCGTCGCACTTTCAGCTTGGGGCGAACGGCGTATGGGTCAGTGGGCCGATATGGAGGGATCTCCATACCTTCGGCGGTGAGCGGCAGCATGCAGTAGGGGTCTCCCCTCAGCAAGACTTCTTGCATGACGATGGCGAAGCTGTACACGTCCCCAGCCTGGGTGCCCCTGCGAAGCAGGCCACAGTCCCGCAGCAGCTCGGGAGCAGTCCACAGGAGGTCTGCGAGAGGGCGACAGAGGAATGCTCATCTTTTGTTTTTGTCACAATAGTGAGGTTCTGTAACGATCTAAATACGATTGAGGCTTAGAAGCGGCAACTGCTGCCGCAGCTTGCTAGGTGGCGCAAGCTACCACACGTTACAAAGGGCATGGCCAATATCATTTATCCATCCAGAAAAGAGGAGCAAGGGTCGCGCCTGCAGCACGAGGGCGCTGGGCCGAGCCAACACCACCTAGCATAATCAAAGTCTGTACACTAGAATCTGTATTGTCATCATAGTGAGATCGAGCGAAGACACGGATTGGATACGAGTGCTGCGTCAGTGGTCGGCTGACTCTCGCGTCCAACCGACGCGTCAAAGGCAGCTTGGCGCCGGGCTCGGGTCTAATTGCGGAGTAGACGCCATCCGACTGCGATGACATTTCATGGAGGAAGAGGACGATGTTCGCGGGCCTTCATTATTCCAGGTGGTATTGGCACAGCAGAGACAGGAAGCCGGACGCCACCGTACTGCAACCTACCGGCAGTTCAAGGGCCAGTTGACGAAGCAATTCGTTCGTCGCGGTCTGTAACGTGTCCGACAGACTGTTATTTGGGGCGGACGTGAGCAGAGGGGTTCTAAATAACACGCATTTAAAATCTATCTTTGGGAAGTGCCGAAGAGACAGGTTAGTTTTCAGTGGGGCCGGAACCTCCTGCGTTCCTGCCCTAGCCAACGTAAACGGGTGCGTAGTTCAACTCTTCGCCAAAGGTCGCGTAGCCATCGTATTTTTGGGACAACTATACTCCGTTCCACTTTAAGTATACGTCTGCAGCCAACGCTGCGATCCGATAGACTCAATCAAGCACTGCCAGATGTGTATCCTCATGACGCTCGCCATTGTTGTGAGCTAGCAATTAGAGGCTAAACCAATCACGCACAGAAAAAAAGCGCTATATTGGGGCGGATTTAATGTGCGTGATTGTTTAAGGCGGTGATAGTAATCCAACAAAAGCGACGAGCGCCATGATGATGCACGTTTTGTGCTGCTTGATTGGCATCATCCGATCGTAGGTTTGGGGACCGTCGGAGTATAATGCGAAACAGAGTATAGCTAACGTAATTTCATGCAAAATCTAACACCTTGCAGTGTCTCTGTCACAGACGAAAGTCGGAGGGATGCATGCTCAGCGCCAGCTTATTGGAAGGCAAGGTTCGGGGCCGAAGTGCGCGACGTCGTCACCACAGAGAAGCCTGTGGACTTGGCTGTTGCCCGAGGGTAGGCGCACGGGCTCTCTTTCGCATGGTTGCACGTACCCTTGGCGGACCGTACGAGGGTGGCGATAGACTGCAGATCTTGAAAGGCTGGGAGGCCGTAGTCCGTGACCTTGAGCACCCAACGAGAATCGATGACGCAGTTCCGGGAAGTCAGGTGGCCGTGGTGACGGATGGGCGAGTTGTGGATGTAGCGCATACCCTGTGTGCAACGAAATGTGACACCCGTATATACGTATACACTTCGGAAACTAAATGTATTGCATGCTTAGAGGGCAAGAAGACTGTGCTTGAAACTTTGACTGTCATTTGTTTAGAAAATTATTTTAAATAGCGCGCCCCACATGCTCAACTGTGGACAGGCATGGTCATAACTCATATGAAACACCATGGATGGACTTTAAGCGTGGTACCCTCGTCGCCGTCTTCCATCAAGCCCCCCCCCCCCTTTCCCCCGCTCTTTACGTATGACTCTCTCGCTACCCACACCTGTTGCAGGTTAAAAGCGCTGTGCAACGATATTGGGTAGGAATGTTCCTCACTTTACTCAAGCGTACTGACACTAGCAGTACCCATATACCCGCAAGCAACGCCACTGAACAAATGATTTTTTTCTAGCCCTGTAACTTGAAGGATAAACGTGAACGTTTTCTTTTTGTCTTTCCATCGCAAAACGTCATGACGAATGTTGGGGGGTAGCATGGTTGTACTTGTCAACACTGCGATCTTCAGGATTTAGTCATCAATCTTTGCGAACCTCGTGATAACAATGATAGAGTGATAATGTACGCTGGAGATTGAACTGGCGCTAGTGTCTGCGCGACTTCCAGGAGGCAAATTGAAGCAGACAGCGACCAGTCTTCTTTTGCGGTGCTTCTGTGCATTCCATGAAAAAACGTGCGTGCATTTCCCTTTTCACCGGAAAAAAACAAAAAAACAAAACATGCATCACTTTTGTTATTTGGGGTTGTAACGAATAGTATCTGCCTTTATTATCACTGTAAAAGTGCAATTGCTCTGGTTATAGTATTTGTTTCACCAGAGAACGATGTTAAACCTCGCTATATTTAAGCCCCAAACCTTTGTTGCATAGAAGGTGTGTAAAAACGAGCCACGATTGAAAGCAAAATAACAATCGAAAGAGATATAAGGTGTGTTCAATGCTCACCAGCATTTCGGCGGCGCTTATATCTATATTGCTAATATGCCAGTCTTGTTATTATATAAAATTGACCCCGTCGTGCATTTTTACGAGCGGCTAAACACATTCAAAGTGTAAAAAATAATGTCCGTGGGCTATGAAAGTTCTTTTTTACTGTTATTAATATGCCCGGCAACTGTTATCGGGCATCTGATCTTTGGCGTCCTATTTTCAAAGATTTCGAGCGTGCGTGTGATGTTTGGAACGCAGAACATGTCTGCACAAATGCATGAGGAGAATTAATATTGCAGTACTTTTTTATTGCAAATCGGACTATTTTACTTGGCCTTCACTTTATTTTGATTATCTAAATGCAAAGGGAGTAACGGATCCAGTGTTGGTTTTCCAAATGTCCTTTGTTCGTTTCGCAAGTAAATCCCCCACGCTGAAAAGCTCTGACGTCATGTTCGAGCTAAGTGTCCGACAGTACACATATTTGCATGCATAAAGCTGTGTGAACACTGTGCGTAATGTCATGAATTTGGAAAAACACACACAAAAAAAAAACCACTGTAACTGACCAATAATTTCTATTACGTGATTGAGAAATGTTCGAAGTTATTTACTACGTTATAGTTATGCGTGACGTTTGCTTCTGAAACCAAGCACACACAAAAATGCACCGGCTTTTCCCCGTAAAAATGCATTACCGAAAATCAATTTTTGAGTGTTTGCCGTTTGCTTCATTTTGCAACAGCACATTACCATCAGGTGAACCTCTAGCGTACGTTATAATTACTTTATGATGACACTATTTAAATGCGGCTCATGGAGTGGACGCTAGTACTGCGTAAGCGTTCGATTTAAGCTCGCGACAATCAATGCCTCGATGTGCATTCGGCTGGTGGCCCGTGTCCAATCGATGCAATGATAAAAATAGCCAAACATTAACAATGCGTGGAGCTTAGCGCGTACTCGGTGAAGAGGAGGCAAGGCCAATCGCTTCCCCTCCAACATTCGCTTTGCTACAGGGGAAAGGGTGGAGGGAACTGCTGGAGGAACCTGTCCTGCTTCTTCTAACATGCAACAGGATATAGGGACGAATGCCTACTTCCTTTGTTGGCAAGAGGATCCAGCCATTGGAGGCCGCTTTATGAAGCTTTGCCAATATCCCTGCACTGCATTCTTTCCATCATCTTACTCTGTCGAGCTCGCGGTCAGAAATTTAACACGAGGTCTACGTCAGCCTTTGTCCAGACCTTGGGTTCAACCGGGGCTTCACTAACTGAACACGGGCTATAATCGAACTCTGATGCAGCATTAGGCTAGGTGATCTGGACGCTGCGTCAAAAAAAGTAATTTATTATTGTTAAGTTGTGATCTGTAAAATAACTAATAGTTACTAGGCATTTTTAGTCCCTGCGCCATCCGCACGAATGGCGACATGTAATTTTCTGGTTTTGTGCCGGGCGATCCCAGTGAACTGCGAAAATACCATGATGTACGCAGTTTAAAACACTATCATTACCCTTGAAGCGGTCATGAACAAAATTATTTTATGATTCGTGCACATCTGGGGATGTAGCAAAACCAGTAAGGCTCACAGGTAGAAGGCTCATAAACAATAATAGTAACCTAATGTTAATAAAGATGCGAAATGAGTTCCAAAAAACACGGAGATGAAAATGGGTCCAGACGTCTGTGATTTTGAGGACCATAGTCCAATGGAAACGACATCTCAAACTTTATCTGCTCATAAACGATACAATTCCGAAATCAAATATTTCGCAAAAAAAGAAAGAAGAAAAAGCATGAGTACAGCAAACGCGGACCACGTACATAGGTACCCTAGTGAAAAATTTGTACGTATAAAAATGTTTTGATCAAATGAACGCATAAAATCAAATATTACCTCAAACTCAAACTCTTTATTTTTCTCCATTTGAAGGGGGGGGGGGGGGGGGGGCAGAGAAAAAAGCAACTCAGTCGCTGCTTGACCGAGCCTCTGCCTCCCCACAGCAGCGGAAAAGGACAGCATATACATATACATAATGTTTTTCACCATCGAATTTATAGCACAAAAATAAACAACATTAGATGGGGAAAAAGGGGGGGGGGGGGGAAGGCATCGATTTAGCCAAGTTTACAAATTCCAAGGGCACTCTCTCACAAACACGGAACATACATTTTTTTGTGGTTTCACTCAAAACTTCTACATTCAATACAATCGGGCGATTTAAAAGCGAGGTACTATATATTTCAACATCTGATTACCGTAGTTCGTTCTGGAGTCCGGAACTAACCATCTACAGACCGAGTTTTATAGGCAACCTCTTGCTCTCATCCTAAGGTTAGAGATGACATGAATAAATTTTCTTTTTGGCAAAAAGATATTTTTAATACAACGAAAAGTTTAAAATAATACTGATTGGGAATCTGTACAATATTTAATTTACTAAATAATGGACTAGTATGACTAATATACTCAGTTTACATATAATGTGAACCGCTTTTTTTTGTAGAGTAAGTGTCAGTTTTATGTTTGTAGCGGTCGTATTTCCCCATACCGAGAAGCAATAGTTATAGTTTAAGTAAACGAGGGAATTACATATAAGAAGCATAACCGAAATTGGGATGATGTGGCAATATTTGTAAATAATACCTGACACTCTTGATAATTTTTGGCATGTCTGTTGTAGAGTCTCGTCCCATGACATGTATTGATTTAATATGATTCCGAGAACCTTTACGCTTTCAACTATGTCTATACAGTGAGTTCCAAAAGAAAGAATGGACGTATAGAAACGGTTTGTATTTCGTGATCTAAATAATACGGCTTTCGTCTTACTGCCATTTATTTTCAATGAATTTTAATTTGTCCAGGCATTTAACTTCCCCAAAAAATTATTTGCAGTACTTATAATCTGATCAGTATCATTACCTGAAAAGAATATACTGGTATCATCAACGTAAATAATGAGGCTTACATTGTTATCAATATTTACGATGTCATTGATGTATAGACTAAAAAGAAGTGGTCCCAAAATGATTACTTACAATACGCCGGCGGTCTGTTTCCGAAGATCCGATTGTTTTTTTTTTTTTTAATTTATTTGATCACAGTGGTATCGATAACGAAGATAACTTCTAATCATATTTAGAATAACGTCACGAATGCCATAAATATGGAGCTTTTGAAGTAATGTGTCATGATTGATCTGGTCAAATGCCTTTGAAAAATCTATGAGCGTTAATAACATTTATAAATATTGTTTAAAATAAATCCATTTTGTTGTTATTTCATACGAACATATAAAAACCATTCAAGAGTATATAAAAAGCTTTAAGAAACTAATAAAAAGTTTTTTACAGCTTCTTATGTAATATTATATTGTTTTTATATGTCCTTATAAGGCTCTTGTATGCTCGTATATGATCTTATTTTATCATATGCGTTCGTTGGACCAAATATTTTCTGATACATATACGTTTTGTTACTAGGGGTGCTGTAGCAAGCCATTTTTAGAAAGTTAAATACGTTATCAGTTCTAGAAGCAAAATATTACGATGCTTTAAAACATACACGAGACAAATATGAAACGAAAATTAGTGTTCGTAAGTGCGTTATAACTTACAAATATGTGTTTAAGTCATCGAAGCAAAAAGTAGTCAGAATTGTCTTAATAATACAAAAATTGTTGTTTATAAAAACAATTGCGAAAAGAAGCAGATTTTTTTATTATGCTAGAGCAAGCTATTCCAAGATCGTGTCAACTATTGCAACCTTTTTACAAGACTTTCAGGGATCCTTAGGTCTTAGAGCAGTAGAAGGGAAAAGTTTCATCAAAGGCAAACTTTTAGAAACTCTGAATCTTTTTGTGCTAGCCATAAGACAACACCCAACAATCAAGAGACTTGGTTTATTAGGTATTTAAAAACATTCTTAATAGTAAGTAAACTATTTTATTCCAAAGCGAAAATTTGAAACACTACCGATTTACGAGAAAATTGTTGAGTCATTCCAAACTGTGTAAACAGTTATGGAAACGCAAAACAGT